CTAACTTATATTATACTTGAGATGGGATTGTATCCTTCCATGGACGAAGTGGCCCAAACGCTCTCGAAAACGTGGACGGATTTTGTTTGCGACAAATCAGTGAGATCAGACGTCAACTGGAACAAGCACGCGACATGCGGATCGGATTACGCAAAAAATACCATAGGGCAACGAATGCCATTGATGGTGTAGACACGTCACTCGTAGCATTCAGCATGGAATTAGGCGTGGCAGGCGTTGGCTTGTTATCCACCATCATGGCCGCCACCGTCGTCCTTAGATTAGAAATAGCAGCCAGGGTATCGGGACTGGTAGGAGTAACTCTTAAATTCATTTCACGTCGGCTGCAACGTAAAGCGCAGAAACACAATGAAATTAGAATTCTAGCAAAAGCCAAGCTTAACACGATCAATGATCATATCTCGACAGCGATCTCCGAAAGCAAAAGCTCCGAGGAAGAGTTTCGTTTAGTGATATCTAAAATCGCTAAATATCACCGAATGAAACAGGAGATTCGAACCAATTCTAGAAAACCGCTGACAACAGTGAAGATGAGAAAAAAAAGTTCATAGAACAGGGCCGATAACAGATCATTCAAACCTTCCTTACCAAGAACAAAGATCTCTCATAAAAGATTAACGTTAAACTGTTTTGTAGATATTAACATAGAAAGATAGAAAGGTTAAAAAAGTAACAAAAAGTCCCCGGCAGCCACAATTCCCCTAGGGAGAAATCGAAAGATTGATAATTTTCGAGCAAAAAACTTGGCTATGAGGTCCCTGGTAGCTGGTTTTTGCTCACTGCCTGTTGTTGACATACAAGCTCCCATGCAGGCTTATGTGTGGGGAGACCGCCTCCGTGGTGTAGTGGTTAGAGCATCCGCCCGGAGAGCGGAAGGTCGCGGGTTGATCATACCAAAAAGACGTTAAAATATGGTACGTGTTGGTCCCTGCCTGGCGCTCGGCATTAATGGGTACAACAAGGACTGGTTTGCTCGGAGTCAGTATAATGTGTCTGAGTGGGGTATTCATGCTTCACTGCTGCATGGTATCTCAGTGGGCTAGCACTATAAAACCAGCTTAAGTCTGGGCTAGTACAAGCAGCTGCACCTACACGCATGCTCATCGTCATATGAGCGAAATATTCTCCAGTGCGCCGTTAAACCCAATTTCACCTCACCTTATGTGTGGGGACGTTCTCGTTCGTAGCCTGAGTGAGCAATCTAGGCCAGCCCAGCGCTCATGTAGGAACGCCGGAGAGCGGAAGGTCGCGGGTTCGATCATACCAAAAAGACGTTAAAATATGGTACGTGTTGGTCCCTGCCTGGCGCTCCGCATTAATGGGTACAACAAGGACTGGTTTGCTCGGAGTCAGTATAATGTGTCTGAGTGGGGTATTCATGCTTCACTGCTGCATGGTATCTCAGTGGGCTAGCACTATAAAACCAGCTTAAGTCTGGGCTAGTACAAGCAGCTGCACCTACACGCATGCTCATCGTCATATGAGCGAAACATTCTCCAGTGCGCCGTTAAACCCAATTTCACCTCACCTTATGTGTGGGGACGTTCTCGTTCGTAGCCTGAGTGAGCAATCTAGGCCAGCCCAGCGCTCATGTAGGAACGCCGGCATGACATATCTCACTATCTAGACCAGTCCAGCGCTCATGTAGGAACGCCGGTGTGACATACATATGTGGGGAGCTAACTATATCTAGCGCAGACGATGTCTGGAACCAGTCTTACAACAAATCCCACTTCTGCTTCAAAAGTCCTAACACTTCAAAAACTTTGGGGTGGATTTTCACCTCGAATAAAGTCTAATAAAATATAAACACGATGCTCGTAGGTAGTCTGAACAACGCCGATCACGATAAATACAACGATGGAATGCTGAAAATAATTTTAGAATTGGTCGTATGAGCTATATACCTATCAGGAACCAGTCTTATAAGGTTGCTCGCTTCCAAAAGGTTGTGGGGATTTTCACCTCAAATAAAGGCCTAATAAAATACAAACACAATGCTCGTAGGTAGTTTAAACAATGCTGAATATGATACATTGGTCATTAGGCCCTGACAAAATGGTTAGAAACCACAATCGGTTATTTTAGAATCGGCTTGCATCACCTTGTTAAACGCGTAAGCTATTTATGGCTTAAATGCACAGTCACTGGTAGAGCGAGCCCGCTGGTGTAGCGGGAACATGTGATACTTCATTTACAGAGTTTTGGCATTCCAATCCTTCCCACCGCTCCTATTCTTAAAAAAAAAATTCATTCCAAGATAAACGTCACCGTTTATCCTCAAAGCCTTATTTTTTTGCCAAAAAAAATAAACACTTCCACCACGAAAACGCACGTGCGCACCAACATTTAACACCATTTTTTCATGGCTGCTGGAGAGGGAAACACATTTCAATTCAACCACCAGCCGAACTGAGGCAGGAACCCCATTGTAATACTACTCTACCAAGATATAAAACATTTCTTCACTACTTCTGATTTTACATCAGGGAACATCTCGATTTTCTCTTATTTTACACCATACAGTCTGTCAGTTTCACTACCAAGATATAAAACATTTCTTGAGTATGTCCAAGGTATTTTTATGGATTATACTCCTTTTTTCAGGTGGACCCGATGAAGGGACCTGGAATGGTCCCGAAACATCATGAGGGAAATAAAAAAGAAGCTTAATCCATAAAAATATCTTGGACATCTATGTACAACTTCTAAATGCCACTGAAAGACATCTCTTCAGTGCTTCTGATTTTACGTCAGGGAACATCTGGACTTTTCTCTTGTTTTACACCATACAGTCAGAGGCTACAGACATTGGAGCTTGGATACACTGCAGTCATATAGCCGAAGTAGACAATCAACATGCAGATTACCTATCACGATGGAGAGACTTTCACAACTGGATGCTCAACCTCAAAGTATTCAACTATCTAAACAGAATATGGGGACCTCACATGGTGGATCGCTTCGCCAGTGTAACTAACACCCAGCTGGTTCGCTTCAACAGCCGTTTTGGGGAACCTTATACAGAGGATATAGATGCTCTCGCCCAAGTGAGTGAGTGAGTTTAGTTTTACGCCGCACTCACCAATATTCCAGCTATATGGCGGCGGTCTGTAAATAATCGAGTCTGAACCAGAAAATCCAGTGATCAACAGCATGAGCGTCGATCTGCGTAATTGGGAACCGATGACATGTGTCAACCAAGTCAGCAAGCCTGACCACCCGATCCCGTTAGTCGCCTCTTATGACAAGCATGGGTTACTGAAGATCAATATTCTAGCCCGGACCTTTACGGTTACTCTCCCAAGTAGATTGGTCCACAGAAAACAATTATGTCAACCCCCTATTTTGTCTTCTTCAACAAACGCTAGAAAAAGTAAAAGAGACCAGAGCCTACACTACGATCATACCCCCTCGATGGACAGGCCAACCCTGGTTCAGCCTACTAAAGTCAATGCTGGTGGACACACCACTGAGCATACCAAACCACCTGTCAGCAGTCCGGTCCATGGGCTTATGTCCAGAACCGATGAAGAACAAGGGATGGAAAATATATGCCTGGAGAGTATATGGTGGACTTCTCTTAACTTATCTTCAGTGGTCCGATAGGTCCATGGAGCAGTTACTGTTATGCTTAGCTGTTAGAAATCTTATATCCTACAACAGTATAATTCGGAAACTACATGACCTCGTAAGGTGAGAAGCTATAATTTCCGGCTTCACACACGGCTCAACTTTCCGTGTTTTTGTGTCAGATTCCAGGCAATACAGACCGACCATGCTCGTCCCTAACTACATTTTCTGCTGCTGTCGGTCACTTGTATAATGCGCATGGGTTGGTCAATACCATGAGATACCCTTACATACAACTTCTTCTTGCTGCACTTGTCAAGTCAAGCACTGTATCTTCTATAAGATTTTCAAGAGTCATGCCTGTTACAGCTTTCTGTGATTTATTCACCTCATGGCCTCATAACAGTGAGCTGTGCACAAAAGGCGGTCTGAAAGTGATATGTCTCCTATGTCTCCTAGGTTGCTACAACAGGTGCAGTTTGAAAGGGATTGTAGAGCTGAATTACCTTCTTTGGAATCAAGAATCACGCTCAGCAAACTGGTTTCGTTGTTAACCTCCCTCCGCACAGTGACGAGAAACTGGATCCTGTAAGAGCTTTACAAGTGTACATGGGCCGAACAGCTCCCATGTGTCCTGCATCGAATGCGGTGTTCCTCACCCTCAGGAGTCCATTTGACTCATTTTCTATTGCAAAAATTATGGAGCAAGGTATCAGTTTGGCGAACTTATCTGGTTCTTGGTACACTGCTTAATCCTTTAGGCCCACTGGAGCTACGACTGCAATAGACTGCAGTATATGGATCCAAATATCGTGCAGAAACTTGGCAGATGGGAAAACCTCCAACGTTTTCTACAAGCATTATGTCCACCCCCACACTCCACTCTCATACATGAACAACCTATTACCTCTCAGTTAGGTTTTGATTAATCAAGTTGGTGTTATTGTACATTGGACACAAGTTGCAATTTTTCTAACGTTTCATTGACTTAGATGTTACGTTTTTTTATGTTACTCTATTGTTTGGCAATATGTTTAATAAATTTCACGTTTGAAACTGGGTGAATAAATTCACAATTTAACCTTCAGTTGTTTGTAATGACTGGTCATAGTGATGTAAGTTTACCTATACTGTAATCATGTGGCCAGTCATGTGACATCTAGCGACAGGTGTTGCTAGTGTATCAGTCATGCTCAGTACATTAGTAAGATGGTATACATTGCTATTCTGTATATATCCATTAAGTATATACTATGATACTGTGGAAATGCTGCTGTGTTGTGACTGGCAATATGTTTAACAAATTTCACGTTTGAAATTTGGTGAAGAAATTCACAATTTAACCTTCAGTTGTTTGTAATGACTGGTCAAAGTGATGTAAGTTTACCTAAATTGTAATTTTTCAGCGAGGATGTAACTTTGCTGCCAGCTATGCACCCATAAACACTCGACAAAATGAAGATAATGATGAGTGTCCTGCAGTATCAGCAGGTAATGTGATTTGTTATATATTCCCATATACATGGGTTTTGGTAGAGTTTAAACTGTCATATCTTCTGAAATTTAGTACACTGTAAATATGTGGAAGAAATGACAGTGCTTCACCTAGTTCTTGCAGAACTCTTCTGGTTTATTTAAGTATTTACTAAATTGAAATATATGAATTCTAATCAAGTAAGCAGCAAAGCTATTTCAGAGCAATTGATGTAAATGACATATCACATCTTGTAATATGATGTGTACTTTCATTTCCCAGGAACACATAAACATGAGTGGACATCTTACACTAGCTTTGAAATATTGTTTGATTTCCTGGCTGAGAGACTGAATTTATTTGTGAAGTCTGAACATCTGGAAGGAATTCAAGTGGAGCACACCGTTTTGTACAAACCAGATGTGAAAGACAAAACACCTAATGTTGACACAACTCAACAGCCGACACCATACGCAGACTCAACTGGGCAGTTAGCACAGGATGCAGACACAACAGATCAGTCACCACAAGATGCTGACACAACAGATCAGTCAACACAGGATGCTGACTCAACCAAACAGTCAACACAGGATGCTGACTCAACCAAACACTCAACACAGGATGCTGACTCAACCAAACAGTCAACACAGGATGCTGACTCAACCAAACAGTCAACACAGGATGCTGACTCAACCAAACAGTCAACACAGGATGCAGACACAACAGATCAGTCACCACAAGATGCTGACACAACAGATCAGTCAACACAGGATGCTGACTCAACCAAACAGTCAACACAAGATGCTGACTCAACCAAACAGTCAACACAAGATGCTGACTCAACCAAACACTCAACACAAGATGCTGACACAACAGATCAGTCAACACAGGATGCTGACTCAACCAAACAGTCAACACAGGATGCTGACTCAACCAAACACTCAACACAGGATGCTGACTCAACCAAACAGTCAACACAGGATGCTGACTCAACCAAACAGTCAACACAGGATGCTGACTCAACCAAACAGTCAACACAGGATGCAGACTCAACCAAACAGTCAGTCACACAAGATGCTGACTCAACAGATCAGTCAACACAGGATGCTGACTCAACCAAACAGTCAACACAGGATGCTGACTCAACCAAACAGTCAACACAGGATGCTGACTCAACCAAACAGTCAACACAGGATGCTGACTCAACCAAACAGTCAACACAGGATGCAGATGCTGACTCAACCAAACAGTCAACACAGGATGCTGACTCAACCAAACAGTCAACACAGGATGCTGACTCAACCGAACAGTCAACACAGGATGCTGATGCTGCAGTCAACACAGGATGCTGAAACAGTCAACACAGGATGCTGACTCAACCAAACAGTCAACACAGGATGCTGACTCAACTAAACAGTCAACACAGGATGCTGACTCAACCAAACAGTCAACACAGGATGCTGACTCAACCAAACAGTCAACACAGGATGCTGACTCAACTAAACAGTCAACACAGGATGCTGACTCAACTAAACAGTCAACACAGGATGCTGACTCAACCAAACAGTCAACACAGGATGCTGCATCAACCAAACAGTCAACACAGGATGCTGATCAACCAAACAGTCAACACAGGATGCTGACTCAACCAAACAGTCAACACAGGATGCTGATCAACCAAACAGTCAACACAGGATGCTGACATCAACCAAACAGTCAACACAGGATGCTGCACTCAACCAAACAGTCAACACAGGATGCTGACTCAACCAAACAGTCAACACAGGATGCTGACTCAACCAAACAGTCAACACACAGGATGCTGACATCAACCAAACAGTCAACACAGGATGCTGCATCAACCAAACAGTCAACACAGGATGCTGACAGTCAACCAGAACAGTCAACACAGGATGCTGACTCAACCAAACAGTCAACACAGGATGCTGCATCAACCAAACAGTCACCACAGGATGCTGCATCAACCAAACAGTCAACACAGGATGCTGACTCAACCAAACAGTCAACACAGGATGCTGACTCAACCAAACAGTCAACACAGGATGCTGACTCAACCAAACAGTCACCACAGGATGCTGACTCAACCAAACAGTCACCACAGGATGCTGCATCAACCAAACAGTCAACACAGGATGCTGCATCAACCAAACAGTCAACACAGGATGCTGACTCAACCAAACAGTCAACACAGGATGCTGACTCAACCAAACAGTCAACACAGGATGCTGACTCAACTAAACAGTCAACACAGGATGCTGACTCAACCAAACAGTCACCACAGGATGCTGACTCAACCAAACAGTCAACACAGGATGCTGCATCAACCGAACAGTCAACACAAGATGCTTAATCAACCGAACTGTTAACACTATATGCAGACACCAGACACCATGGTCATTACCAGATGGGGGACCAACAAAAAAACTAATTTTACCCATGAAACCTGATTTATTTGATTTCCTAGAAAATGAATGTACTCTAAAGTCCAATACAAATTTCAGTCTTGTTTAGTGACTGTTTACCAAATCATTTTCTATGTGTTATGAGAGTACTGTCATTTACTGTTTTACAACTGAACAGAATTAGTCTTAATGGATAAACATGGTAAAATGTAAACTAAATTAATTTTATTTGCTTGGAATAACAATTAGCCTTCAAACCCGTCTGAAGCCAATATATACTCACGGAAAAGAATAAAGGAACACATGATTAATCTCAGCTTATTTAATGTACACATTGTGACACAAATCTAAAGCAGGAAATTTTCAAAAGTCAGTATCTCGTGGGTTCTCAGTATTTGTGGATTACTTCAGCATACCTGTTTGGTTGATCACAGCTTGAAGAATAGCTCACCACTCCTCTACCAGAGTGTCATACAGCTGATTGAGATTCTGGCGCTGTACTTAACGGCCTCTCACTCTTCGACCCAAAACATCCCAGAGGTGTTCAATTGGGTTAAGGTCTGGAATTTTCAATGGCCAGGGCAGAATCCTCATGCCATGGTTCCTCAGACATTCAACTGAAACTTGAGCTGTGTGAGGCCTGGTGTTATCCTGCTGAAACTCAATGTTCTGTCCGACACGTTGTTGGAATGGCACAACTGTGGGCAACAACACTTCATCACGGTAATGCATGCCCGCGAGTCTTCCTTCTACACGTAAGAGGTCAGTTCTGCCTCATACATTATTCCTCACAACACTATCACAGAGTCACCCCTATAACGATTGTGCTATTTTACAGTACATGCAGTGTAACACTCATTACATCGTCTCCACACACATTCGTTCATCATTAAAGTCCGAGGTTCACCGCTAAACATTGTGTACCGCCAAAGTCGCAGCTGACAACCACGATGTGCTGCAGCCCACGCCATTTGAAGACGTTTTTGCAGCGCTGTCATCTTCACATCAACAACTGGACAATGTGCTTTGAGACCAGCAGCCTTCAGCTGATTCCGTACAGTTCAATTGGAGACTGATACACCTGTAGCATTATGGAATGTGCTGTTGATTTTCTATGAGGATTGGAATCTGTCACATAAAGCAATCAGCCGAATTTGACAATCTTGTCTATTGGTGGTTTTACACTGGGCCCCACGACCAGGTCCAATTTTGATGATACAGATTCCACAGCCAATCAAACCTACAAATCACACTCTTAGATTTATTCATGGACTGGCTGTTTGACAGATGGATTTTCCCCCGTCTGATCTGGCCTAATGCTTGCCATTTTTGGACAGTTGTCATGTACTGTCTTGGCATCTTCCACAATTGTGATGCAGGACATATGTACATTGGTGGCATTCAAAGCCTGATATACCAAAGGTAGCCATGATTTGCAGGTAAAATTGAGGATGCATGTGCTATAATTCAATGTTTGATGCATTCGCAAGCAATAATTTACATGTACTGGGCGTCCAAACATGGCCACATATCACAAAGACAATCTTCCCTTTTATATCGTTCCCTTATTGGTTTCCATGAGTATATATCTGGACATAGATAATAGTTTGAGACATTGTTCACACAATTTTAACTGATTTCCAATAGTTTAAACAGTCGGTTTGTGTTTGATGACTTCAAGCCTTGTGAGAGTGTACAAATTGGCATAATTAAGTTCCAAAGTTGAGGATGAAAAAAATTGTCATCATGAAATGATGAATACACAAAACATGTTTGTAATGGTGCTGTAATAAGGTGAAGCCTTTGGTTTGGTCCCATTTTACCTACGTCCCAGTTTGCCTACAGTGAAAGTGAAGGGAATGTCGGACACCCCTTTTGCATAAATGAGTATGTCCCAAGTGCTGATACACTACTCTGCTCCAAGTTCTAATTTTAACTGACTGACAAAGTGACTGTTTGATCTTGATTTTACCATACTTTGATCATGAGAGAACAGGCTTCTCCATAAGTTAAATAAATTAGCCATGGAACCTTACCATACTTTATTGTTTTTGTATATCATTGTTAGTAGCAAAAGGATTATGTGAGTACACACAATTGGAAAGTTTAACTATAAATTGTATATATATAATACTTATAGTAGTAGTATGATGGTTGTTCTGCATCACTTCCTCCTAGGGGGTTATTTCTATGTAATGTTGCTCCCAGCGTCCATTAAAAATAATGATCCCCGAGCGGAGACATCGTTCTATGTCCCGACTGGCGGTGCAGGCTAGGCCCTGTAAATTCGCATAGAGACTGACAGCTGGTCCCGGCAGTGTGATGGTAGAGCACTGGACTGACAATACTTAGGCCCAGCGTTGGAGTCGGCCTAGAGGATCCACACAGCGAGCATTCCTTCATCGGTGACCAAGGTAAGCAGTGTGATGTCATCAGCTTAGCAATGGTGCTCCTACACAGAACTCAGTTGCTAAGCCAAGCAAGATGGCGGACGAGCTTGGTAACGGTGCTCCTACCCAGAACCCAGTTGCTAAGCCAAGCAAGATGGCAGCGTGATTGTTAACGGTGCTCCTACCCAGAACCCCGTTGCTATGCCAAGCAAGATGGCAGACGAGCTTGGTAATGGTGCTCTTACCACGAACCCCATTGCTAAGTGGCTACCCCACCTAGCAACACCTGATAAAGCGCCACAGCGTTTAGACCGGGAGTTAGATGTTGACTATTTTTTCAGATATTGGTGTGTTGTCTATGTGACCATCGTTGGATGCGTCCTTGTTTTAAACGTAGCCGTAATATTGAGCGATGACTTTATGGATGGGGTCTGCCATCAATTCCTCGAAGTAGGCTAAGGAGAAGGTTGAGTACGGGGCGTTGTGTTCTCTGGTCTCAAGGCTATAATCGACTAAAGTATCCATGAGACCTTGTAACCATTCAGTACCCCCCAGACCTAAACTATCGTACAGGGTCGTGAATTGCCCTCGCCAAATGACCAGACATGGGGTAATTGTAATTTGTAATTGTAATTGAATATAATTAATTACAAAAATCTATGTAATTGCATGTAATTTGTAATTGAATGTTTAAAATGTAATTTGTAATTGTAATTTAATTAATTAATATCTCAATGTAATTGAATTTTTCAATTACTTTTTCAATTACATCAAATTACATCTCACTTTTTTATTTTGCCAGTCATCAGGCAACCCTTGCAATTATATTCTGTACAATAAGGAGGACAAAGCAGTGTTTTTCAATAAGATGCTTGTTGTAGGTATATACTCTAGCAGGTGTTAAGTTTTGAAAGAGATTTGAATGTCTAAGCCTTTGTAACTATCACCATCCGCACATCTGGGAATCAGTAACGCATGACTGAATGTAGGTTGGTATTTGAGGAAATGGGGGATTAACAGTACTATTAGTCAAGTTCCTATCAAAATGGCCTCTTTGTTTATTTCTCATAGGATATGATATTCAAAATCTTACTGAACTGTAGTCCTATTTTTATAACCATGAAAGGTAATAAGCCATAAATCCAAGTTGACAAATCCTTTAGTATGTTAATGTGGATTATGTCAGATAGAGAGACCAGCTGATTATATATTGTAATGTAGGCCTGTAATGATGTCAAGATACAGTACACCTAAGGTAACAGTGGTGGACAAAGTGTTTTTTGCAACAAGAGATGATAGAGGTGTGTATTTGATAATAAGCCCAAAGAAATATGCAAAATACAAATTTGATCAAATAGTGTACATTGTAGATATAATCTAATTTTGCATTTCACTTTTTGATGACAAAAATATGAATTGGATTTAGTGACCACTGTTTACCAACATCGATATCTTGTTGATTAAAGGAATACAGAAATATATTTGTTTTTTTGTTTTTTGTTTTTTTTAACAAAGTAATTTGTAATGTAATTAATTACATTGGTAATGTAATTGTAATTTAATTAATTACATTTTAATTTAAGGTGTAATTGTATTTGTAATTGTAATTGAGGAAAATCAAAGTAATCGTAATTTAATTAATTACATTTCAAAGTAATTGAACCCATGTCTGCAAATGACTCTACGAAGGGCTGAGTAAATATCGAGTCAATTGGCGTCCACCCTGATGCGCCTGAACAACCGCTTCTCGATCAATGTCCACATGATGATAAATATAAATATACAATTCTTTAATAAGGGGGTAATACCGTATCGCGGGGTACGACGAGCAATTCCTCTCGCACGAATCCCCTACCTGGTCCGTCTTTCAAGTAATACAAATGGGGTTTGATATTCTTTGATATCCACCCGATCGATGTGGTACGTTTTGACGGACCATATGGGGTCCGTGGCACGATGTCGATCCCCTCCCTTGAGTTCACCGGGTTTGTACAAATACCTCACGCTGATCCGACCTGATAGTTTTTTCTCGGGGTTTTTACACAGCGGTGGTGCGGCTGATTCGGTCGTCATGGATTTCATTTTAATGGCCTCAACAGGTTTTTTGTCGATGAGTCGCGTCACTTCGTTGTTGATTGCCAACACCACTCGAGGTAAACGCACAACCCATTCCGTCAATTGTTTACGGGCTTGACCATCTCTTGGGCGTACTGGTGTCCGAACAAACGCTTGGCTAAGGTGCGGTTAAATCGTTTGACGATGACTTGGCTGCGGTGAGCTCCTGCTTTACCGCGCCTGACCTGGACCTCGCGTTTCAACAACAGCTGCGACACGGCTCCCATAAACTTGCGTCCGGGATCGACTTGTAATTTGTTAAGCCACGTCAAAGGGATCTGTTTGTAGGTACGTTCCAGTGCCTTTGCCACTTGACTCGAATCTTTTGCGGTGAGTGGCTCGGCCTCCTTGTAGCGACTGGCAATGTCTACCACTGTCAGGGCATACTTGTGCGTACGTTTGCGTCTCACCCTGTCGTGCGGGAGAAACAGGAGGTCAGCTTGATGGACTCGATTGGGCGTCGAGACATCAAATTTTCTTCTCAGGATGTATCGGGGAGCTGGCAAGTAGCTGGCGGTATCCTCAGGGACTTTGGCGGACTTGTGGATAGCGCCCACACCTTTCCAGTATCCCGGAGGGCTGTAGTAAATCTTCTCCATGATTTATATCGTTCACGCTATTTTCCGTTCAATACAACTGTGTCCGTACACATAAGTCATGACACCATTATGAGCAATCCATTGTTTCGTATCCATTGGCTCGTATCCATTGGCGACACTGACGTCTTGTTTAGAGTGATTCCGTAGATTTTGTGTTTATCCCTTCTCAATGCATTCATTTGGTGTTTGAACGTGCGTTTATCGAAGAGAGCATGTTTGAAGAGGGTGTATTCGATTTGCTGTTTCATGACATATTTTTTCACACCCTTAGTCTCTCGGTTCTCACCGTTGTCAGCTTTCAGGACGGAATAATCTTGGGCCTCAATCTGACGTATTCCGTAATTGGTGTCCCAGCACATTCGTCCTTCATTTTTCCGAGGACCTTTTTATTGGTTGTACTGTGTAAAGCGTGATCGGATGGATAATCGCTCGTATCGTACAGGTGGATGTATTTTGCCATGTCCTTGTACACGTCCTCAGTACGCATTTCTAACAACAAGGAATCATTGTCGGTGTACATCAGCTCACATCGATCACCGTATTGTTTCTTAACTCGTTGTAGTAGAAATCGTACATCAGATGTTTGGATAAGTCAAGAATGCTCGTCCCCATGGACGCGGGCGGTTCAATTTAGCCGGCTTTTAGTCATGTGTAATGCTGCCAAGTCATTATCAAATTGCTTACTTCGGTTAAAGGCTGGACTCGCTATGAGTTTCCTTAGCTTTTCCTCCTCGTTGGATCGCACTAGTTTTAAGTTGACGCGCTTGTTCATCAGTTTGTAGAGGTTTTTCTCAAAGTCGCTCATGACTTGTTTTCTCACATCTGTGTTCAATCGAATGTAAGGTTCCATCCAGGGACTTTGATCGAATTTAAGTCTCGAACACGTCAGCCAGTAGCAGTATGTCTGTTCTTAAATACAAGTCATGATAATCGCCTAAATTCTGACAGTCCAGTTTCTCCCACACGTTCTGGGCATGGTCGTCAACGTCCTGGGAGATGGTCGAGTCGGTTAAGCGACTATAAAAGCAGTCAATGGGAGGTAAGCGTGTCTCATCGAACTTCGACTAATCGTCCATGTACTCGTACGGGTACACACACTTTTTTAACAGCAAAGGCCGAGTCACTGCATTGGTGTATCGATCGGTTATAGCGAAGGTCTCGTTGGCTTTTACCAAACTGTCGAGGGACGACAGGAGAAACTGAGTGCTGTCGATAAATCTCAGATCGTTTAACGAGAACGAAATGTATTTCTCTATGTTGTTGGGAATGCACTTTAAGTCGCCATTGATTTTTGAGATGGCCTGCATGATAAGGTGGGCATCGTACCCGTGAAGGTTGGGGAACACCACGGGGATTTTGATTTTTGGGGAATCGATTCTTAGTTGCATGCGTTGTGGTCGGCGCCTCGGTATTGACCTGTGATGTGGCAATGTTCTCTTACGGAATCATTTTTAAGGGGTCCCTGGCAAACATGGCAATATCTAGCTCGTTGGTAAACGAACTCATTCTCCGGCGTCATACACATGGGGGCAGGGTCCGACAAAGCTTCCCTGATTTTTTTCTCCTCGTTTTGTAAGGACGTCAGAAATGTTTCAGCCTCGTCAGGACCTCGGTAGATTACAGGAGCGTTTGTTTGTCCATCGCATCGGACGACATGGTGCCCGAACCCGTAAGCTTCGTGTACCTGCATTTTGTACATAAAACTTTGTTCGGTCATGTCGGGCGTGTCGTGGTCGATATGTTTGATTAAAGCTTCGAAGTCCGCGTAAATCACATAGGGTACGGGCATTTGATGTTTGTGGTCAATAAATTTGTTCGTGGTCTCTCCCACACCTCGGCAATCTTCCCAGCGTGCTTCCAGCAGGTCGGCGTGACTGTACCCGTGCAGGCATCGTTCGCAGAAGTGTTTTTTTCCCACCGTGTTTCGATTG